GAACCCCCTTCCCTAATTTTGAGTTGGCCAACTTAGACAAAACCAAAGGGGGGGGGCTGGTGATAGGACTGGTTTTGAATATATCTGGCAAGCCTGGATCAGTCAGTCAGCCAGCAACAGTGCCTTTTTGGCTTGAGGGAAAGTTTATCATGAATTAGTTTTAGGTAAGAGGGGGGAAGGAAAAAGCTGAAATTTGACTTTTTTTTTTTTATCATTGTCTATTGCCTTTCTCTGCTCTAATTGTCTGGGATCTGTCTTTCCTACTCTCTCCCTCTGCCCAGGCTTGCACAGATGAAAGATGACCTTCTAGCCTCAGCAGCCCTTTTATTTAAATTAAGATGCTTCAGGATGCACAACTTTTTTTCTAGAAACACAGCCCACACCATGTGTTTCTGCATCTCAGAAACCCCAGTGGCTCACTGGAGAAGCCCAGGTGCCTATAACTTGCTCTGAGGCAGGGCCCTGAGCTTCTGTCAACTTACTTTCTTCACTGAAGTGCTGCAGGCTCACAACCCTGAGGTTGTGTCCCCCCTGAGGGTCTTCAGTAACTATGCTGCACGGCATTTTCTTCGGAATGCCTTGTTTCCCTTCAAGTTCTAGTTCAGGTGTTCATCTCTTCCCAGCCCTTCTTTAATTGCTGTGTTTGAAATTAGTCTTCTCAAACCTCCAGACTTCTGTGGTTTGATAACCATGCCTCACACAGTACCTCCCACTCATTGTGGTTTGCATTCCTAACCTGGGTGCAGCTTCAGAGAGCAGCCTTGTGCTCAACACATACAGGATGACTGGCCTAGTAAGCAAGTGAACCCAGTTTGGGGCTTTCATCTCCCTCCGGAACTCAGCTGGCAGGATACCCAGCTAGCACTGGGTGGCACAGGACGCTAGGATTGACCCTTTCTTCTTCAGAGGGTAGTGAAACTCATTTACATGTAGACTTCTCCCCTCTTCCTTTCCAGGGGCCACTTCCTCATCATTCCCCAGTGGGGTTGACTTAGAGGAGTTCTATTTGCCTTCATGCTAGGACACAGAGGTTATGTGCATAGAACTGTGGAAGTTCTGGTCTTGAGTCCACTTGTCTGGGTTTGATATTGATATGAGCTGTATCCCTGTTTACCATCAAAGAGATGCACACCCCATGTCAAAATTCTATCCTCCTTGTACTTTGGCTTCCTTATTCTCCTTTACCAGCAGGCAAACTCATGGGATATAATAATAGTTACAAAAGGCAGGAGGTCAGGGGAGACAGCTCCAGGTAAAGGAGGAGTTTGGATTTCTAGAACCTGCATAGAAGCTGGGTAAGTATGGTAGCCTGCCTGTAATCCCAGAGCACAGGAGTTGGCTAGCCAGGGTAGCTTGAGTTGTCGTAAACTGTAGGCTCAGCAAAGACTCTTCCCTAATACATAACGTGGGAAGTGATCAAGGGAGATGCTCTGTAGTAACCTCAGGATTTCACATGCATATTTATGTATGCTCACACAAATGCAAGCACACACGCATGCACACAGGAGCAGTCATCTTTTTAATGTGCCCAGCAGCTCAGTGCTGGCACACCACAGGCATTCAGGCATGGGAGTAGGGTGGGAAGGTCCTGGGATGAGAGGTCCTTGTTAACTTATGGGTCTGGGCTTATCAGCCAGCACTTCCTGGGCTGCCTATAGCCCACACACGAAGATGTTATTTTGGGAGAGGCAGGAATGGCGGGGTGGGTATGGAAGTTATAAAAGGTACAGGATGTATGTTAGGAAACTGAAGTTTGTGGTTTCTCTTGAGAATACTATGTCATTTAAGATAGGCTTAAAAGCCAGAGTCTGATAATAGGTCCTCAGCACCCTGCTTGTGAGCTGTGTGACTTTATGCAGGTCACCTGGCCTTTCTGTTTTTCAAGCTCATCTCTAAAAGGAAGATAATGAGAACACTTTATAAACTTCCTGGGATTGCCAAATGACAGAATGTGTTGAAAGCATTGTCTCCCTGACTGGTTAATAGGAAGTCTTAGGTAACGCATTGACATTGTTTCATTGCTCCCAGTTTTACCACAGCCATTGCTACCAGCTAGCAACCTTAATTACCTTCAGGGTCAACATTCAATATTAAATAGCTGATGCCCTTTGAGAGGGGCATCAAGTTTTATAGTCCTCTCAGCCGATTCTGGTGCCCATCGAAGCCCGTGACCCTTCTAACACATATGCTATATGCTTTTATTATTCCTATTAGGTTTTCATGTGAAGTTCAGAATGTTCAGGTCTGTTCCTTCAAATGCTTTGTAAGCCGTGCACTAACAAGGGGTAGTTTCTTGTAAACAGGTTCTGTTCATAGGTAGTAGACACGGTTTGGCCTGGGCTGTTCTGTTCTGGGTGATCCCTCCTGTTAAAATGTGTATGAGAACTGATTCTCGGAGCTCCCCTGCATGGAATGACTTCATCAGTGTCATCCGGCTCACTCCTCGGAGCCGAGAATTATCACTGCATCTCCGCCCCACCCCCGTTCCCACGTTAGAGTAACATCCTGTGGTTTCTCCAGAATGTTTTCCTGTGGGGTAATTACACTCCCATCATTTCTCCTCAAAGAAGATGTTTTGAGGCTTCACTCTAATTATCCAGTGCAAATAGTTATATCTTAGCTTTTGACAAAAGCCCTCAATTTTGCTGCGAGTTCAGCTCACACATTGCATGAAAGCTATTTTTTAAAAAGCAGCTTGGGAGTTTAAGAAAGATCTAATGCAGATTTGTGCATGTGCATATGGGGGAGCTGAGGAAGGGACGGGATTACACAGGACTGTACTGTGTCCCACAGCAATGCAAGCTTTTGAAGGATCAGCCACTTCTTTCTTTACATTCTTTCCTACTTGTTGATGGCCAAGTTATATCATCCCATTGTAACCCTACTTTTTGGTTACTTTATTGCATTTTTGAACCTACCGCTCTTCTCCACCCCAATCCCTTCCAACCCAACCAAAGATGGAGAGGAAAGATGCCAGAGATCTCTGTAGACTGCTTCCTGCTGATTAGGAGTGTCAAGTTCCTTGGGGCAAGTCCAGTCTTCATCAAGCTATCTCTAACCAGCAACCAGCAATCCAGCAACCAGCAAAAGCAATCAGCAGGAAGCACTAGCAGCAGCAGGGGGAGCAGCAGCCACAGCAGCCCCAGTTTCTCTGGGGCCTTGCCATTTTTTTTTTTTTTTACCCTCATAAGAGTCCCCAGAATTCCAACATAAACTAACTTCAGCCAGCGGAATCACATACCTGTCAGAACAGGAGACAAACTATAGTCAGCTGCTGTGGATGATCTGAAGTATCTCACACCTGGGATCAAAACAAACAAACAAACAAAAAAACATATTCCCACAACATAAATGGGTTTTAAAAGAAACCAAAATTCTCACTACCTCCCATTCTGTAAATATTCTAGAGCTTAGGGTTTGCCCTGAGAGATTAGAGGTTCACATAGGGAACTTAACTTTAAGATCGACATGACATACCTCTTTAGGATCTTGGCATCTTTGTTGTACAGATCAGGCAGTCTGATTTTGTTGCTGTTGTTTAGAGAGAGCCTTGCCACCTGAAAGAGCTAGCATTGGTGGTCTCCACACAGATGCTGGTGTGCTGGGCTTTCACAAGTGTGCACCACAACACCTGACTAAGCAACCCATCTTTGACTATGCTATTATAGTGGAATGGAGAATTTAAACTTGTGAAAGACAGATTTACTATTGAAATTATATCTGGAAATATCTTTCTTAAAAGTGTATGTATAAGTTGTAAGTCCACGTGGGGGAGATTGAAATTGTCATCAGAGCTAAACTGTATAGACTATCCGACCAAGTACGGATTGTTATCTAACAGTGTGGCTCACATACAGTAATGTATGATACAGTGTACACCGAGTCTCCTGTGACTATGTAAGGCACTCTGTGAAGGTACTATAGATTTAGTGATATGCATACTAATAAAGATAATGCCATTGTCTCATTTGAGAGACCAAGAATCTTTCTAAAGCAGAGCTTTGGCATTTGTAATATGCTGCAGTTACAGGTTTGACTTACCCAGTACTGGATAACTGAAGCATTTTGTCAGTAGCTTGAAAATTCAAGTGCTGAGCCACTTTGTCTCCTTGTTTCTTCATGCATGGTCCTTCAGAACCAGGTGGGTGGCATAATTCCTCTTTCATGCACACCGCAGGAAAGCAGCTATAGGAGCCCAAGAACTTAAGCTTTCGTTTACAAACCTTTCCTTTTATTCTTTTCAGTGCTAGGGATCAAATCCAGGATCCTGTAAATGCTACGCATGGGTTCTAACACTGAGCCGCACTACCTACCCTGGAAGCCTTCTCTGTTGATGATAAATCAGGGGGAGTTGGCTTATCTTTTCCTTTTTGTAGTCCATTATGATAAGACCTATTTGGGCTGGGCATAGTGGTAAAATGCATTCAATCCTAGCACTCTACTTGGGAGGCAAAGGCAGGTGGATCTTTGTAAATTTCAGGACAACCAGAACAAATAGTGACACCCTTTCTCAAAAAACAAAATTTAAAGCCCCTTTTGATTTGTTTTAACAAACCTTTATTAATTGCACAATGCAACCTTAAGCAAATCATAAAGCAATGTGATAAATAGTTGAGGAATGATGCCACACAGGTGAGGAAGTGAGGGCCTAATGTAGTAGTGGGAGGTTGGGCCTGTGCGATTACATGGATTAAGTGATAACAATTTTGGGCTTCACCAGTAGGCAGGAAAATGATGTGAGTCAGATGGAAGGTTATGTGCACAGTGGAGTGAGGGCAAAAACACAGCATATTAAACAGAGTGCAAAGGTCAAGGAGTGGAAGTACTGTTAGCAGATGATTCCATAAGGATAAGGACATTCTCTTGCCTCCATGGCCTTTAGGCCATGGAACGAGAGAGCCCTAGACTTTATTTGGTGGGACACGTTAGAGGAAGAGTCCTCATGTTCTCTAGAAAAGCTAAATATCAACATCCACAATGATAGAAAAACATACTTTACTTTTTTTTTTTTTTTTTTTTTTTTTTGCCACAGAGAGATCCAGGGAAGTGGATGGGCCTAAATAAAGTGAATCAGGCTTTGAAAATTTTCCCACGTTGATGTTATTAATCACAGGCCAACCATTCTATTGTTTAAATGCACCAAGTATAGTACATACTGTCTAGGATATCTGCATTCCTTTTTAATGGTGCTGGGGAGTGGGCACTTTGTAAGATACCAAAAGTCTGTGATATATCTATCTTTTTAAGAACCCTGTCCTTGGGAAATATGGTCCAGAATTTTGGCAAACTCGTATAAGAAAATGTTTAACAAAGATCCTACTGTACAGACAAACAGTGAGGCACTCTTGCCCAGGAAGATTTTGCTGGCTGACACTGACTTCCCCCTCTCAGGCTGCCCATGGCTGTGAACTGGCTTTCCCTGCTGCATGGGTCTCTTCTAGTGCTCTGTTGAGTTGTGGGAGAGACCCTTTGCACTTATAAGCAGAAAAATCTTTCGGGGTTCCTGGGGTCACTTTTGACCCACTTTGGTTCCTCAGACTACTTCTCTTTCATTCCCTGCCCTCGCTTTTCTTCCACAGGCATTGGGTGTACACGTTTGTTGGTTTATGTTCACAACTCTCAGCATTGTGAAGGCTATAAAACTCACCTTACCATTTTAGGAATCGTGTGTAAGAGAATGTGGAACGGTAGCTAGAAGGGAGGTTTTATTAGGCATATCTGTCTCCCATTAATCGTTTCCATATTACATGAATGCTCTTGAAAAGATGACATCTAGTGGCCGTTTGCTTTCCTATGCATTCTCTTAATGTTAATTCATTCTGCTTATAAATAAATCTATGTGGTTAAAATATGCATAATCTTTTCCATACTCTAGGATAATAAAAACCTAGGAAACTGTTTCCCCCCCTCCTTTTTTTCCCTGTAATGCTTAAGTGAAGTCTCCAAGGAAATGATCTTTTTGAAGTCCCATCCTTAAATAGAAGCCAAGACTTGTGTATAATTTACATGTGAGAGGAAGTTGTCAGCCTAGGGTGATATTGTCTGTCTGGCTACTGTGGTGTTCTTCGCTTGTTGCTGTTGACCTTGTCCTCCCTCTCATACATGGTACCCTTTCTGTGAACTTTTTACATAAGATTATGTAGATTAGGGGATCCATACAAATATTAGTCGTTGCCAAAAAGAGAGTTGTTTCTTTAGCAACGAACAGTTGGTTTTCTAATCTGCAGTCAGTCTTGTTGCTGGTCTGACTGTAGGTATATGGAACTTTGACAAAATGATATGGCGCAAAGCACACAAAGAAGACGGCTATGACAATAAATACCTTCACCTCCAGCCTTTTGTGCTTGCCATCCTTACTCTTACACTTTTTATAGGAGTCGTATACCTTTTTGGTAATCACTACATAAAACACTACCATCAGGACAAACACAGTCCAGAAAATGACCTGGCATGTGTGACTGACTACTTGATGCCACAGCAACCCCAGGGGGCTCTTTAGAGATGCACACTTCTTCACGGATGATGGCGTCGCTTTCTTGTTCAAGATCATGTTTGGCAGGGAGATGAAGAACATCAGGAGCCAGATGACAGTTGAGACTGTTTTTGCAAAAGCAGTCCTTTTTGCAAAAATTTTTCTAAAGGGTCTGATGATTTTGAGGAATCTGTCAAAAGCGATGAAGCCCAGCATCATGATACCTACATACATGGTCTGATACAAGACCACAGAAGAGAATTTACACACAAAACCCCTGAGCTGCCAGGGTCCAAGGTGTGAGTCAGAAAGGATCTTGAAAGGAAGCATTAGCGTCAATATCAAGTCTGCCACCAGAGTGTTTTTGAGGTAGATGATGAAAGTCGAATTGCTGGGAATATGAGTGAACACCCAGAGGGCCAAGGTGTTCAGCGCGATGCCTGCCAAGAACAAGGCCGTATAGAGGGCTGGGAATACCAGATGGGTCATCCGAGTGTCTCTGGGGCACCGCTCAGACTTGTTGAAACCCTGCATCACAGTGGTGTTGCCTGTCTCCAGCATCAGCTATTGTACATAAACATGCAGACAAAGAGAAACAAAGAGCCCTCATGACTTGGCAAATACTACTTTTTGTTAAAAACAACAACAACAACAAAAACCAGACTTCATTATTTAACACACTTAAGCAGATCTGATTTTTGGCTAGAATCTTTCAAGCACATATCTTATTTTTACTCTTTTTTAAAAGTCCCATTAATTTACAGCCTTGTGAAGTCCAAGCAGCAAGCACTATTCATTCCATGGCAGTAACAGAACCCAATTTAAGATGTAAGGATGCAGGGCAGGCTGTCTTATGTTATGTAGTGCCTTATGCTTATAGTCTATGCCTATAGACTATTATATTTAGATTTTTTTTAATTTAGGCACGTTCTGTCTTTTATAGCAAGCACATTGATAAGAAAAATTGGAACTGACCTTTGTTTGGGAAGACACTCAGCTGTATGAATGTGACAGTCATTAGCTCACTCCACAGAGAGCTTGTGAAGTAAAGGTTCTCCTTTCTTATACTGGCCTTCCTTCCTCATTTCCCCCCTGTGGGCTTCTGTAATAACCCACATTTTCTAGAACTTCTGTATCTTTAGACCTTTGGCGCATTTACCAGTAATAGTTATTGGTCTGTGTGTGCTGAAGGTTGAACCCAGGGCTTTCACTGGCTCCGCGGCCACGCCACCACTCAGCCATATTCCTAACATGTGAGATATTTTATTATACTTAATTATATGTATAAGGGGTGCATATGTTCTCAGGTGCACAGAGAGGCCAGAGGTGTTTGATTCCCTGGTGCTGGAATCACAGGTGATTGTGCACCAGCTGAAGTGGGTGCCTGGAACATGCTTTTAAACTGCTGAGCTATTTCCCCAGCCCCAAAGTTTATTTATTTATTATTATTCATGTTCAGTGACCTTATTGAATACCTCACGTGTAACAATAGGAATTAAAGTGATGAAGGAAATAGTATCAAATTACAACCAAGGAGGAGGCTAAGTCTTGATTTTAAAGTCAAGACATCTTCTGTACTCCTACAGGCTGGGCTTGCAAGAAGTTTTTATGCCGAAGGGTGGACTTTTTATATCTGCAGACATTGCTGTTTGTTTTTAATCCTGAGATCTGTGCCAGAGAAATTTCTAAGATGTGAGAACTATTATCACTGGACCTATCCATTATTTAGTATCCAGTTTAAACAAATGTTTTAAGAGCTGTACATCTCACTCCCTCATGTAACAAGTTTGAAAATATCACCTACTTTGTAGGAGTACATGGGAGGTGTAGCTATGGCATAACACTGTGCATATCAGAAAAAAAATAATAAAAATGCCAGCCACTCTCTGTTTTGGTTTTCTGAATTGTCAAATTGAGTGAAGATGTAGTATGTTACTTTTGGGAAGTCATTTTAGGAACTACCTGTATTATTGAGACTTAAAGAATTTTGTGAATCAGTGTTGGACCAAGATCGGTACAATGTTTCCTTTAAATCTCAGTGTGGAGAAAGTTGCCGTGTGTGACAGAGTGCCTCCCTGCCAGAAAGATGAAGGGAAAGGGGAAATTAGATGATCTTACAGACAATGTGTGGTTATGGCAAGTTTCACTTCATATTTCTTGCCACACAACTTGCTAGAGTTGGACTGTCCTCGAGAAAATCCTACATGACTTAGGTGAGGGTCCTGAATAAGTATATTCCACACTTGAACATTTTAAAATTGAACGCACTATGATGCCTGGGGACTTTGGTTAGCTCTAGGGAATGGGTTGTACACTTTAAAATTTTTCTCTTCAACTGAAATATATTAGGATTACACTGATATAATGGATCACAACTTAAATATAAATGTATTTGGCTTATTAAGAGGATAAAAATCTGGCAAAAATCTTTTTTTTTTTTTTTTTGGCCTAAATAGCTAATTTTGAATTTCTCAGTAGCCCCCAATCGAATTTAAAAACAAAAGTCTGGAAAGTTTCACTTTAAACAAGGAAATTCTGTACAGGATCATTTCATAATATGAGAAGTAGAAATCACATTTTGGTCAAATTTCAAAATGCCAAATGTGGGAAACTTTGAAAAGAGGAACTGATTAGCAATGGCTGTTTCTAGGGTCACAAAGGTATATTCTTTTGTTTGTGAAATACATATTGTGTGTGTGTGTGTGTTGTTATTGTTGTTCTTTTAGTCAGTTCTCTCTTTTTAACATGTGGGTCACATGCACTGAACTCTCTGTTGTCGTGGTTGTTTGTCACTAGCTGAACCATCTTTCTGGCCCTAACATAAATTCTTTTTAAATAAGCGTTTTGAAGTGCTTTGCTTGGTAAATACATTCACAATGCTGATGTTTGTTGGAAAACGTCTTCCCTTTTGAACAGCCTGTCTGAAAGCTGCTTCCTATCGCTGTGTGGAAGCACCATCTCAAAGCTTGCGTCCAAGCCTTAGTCCAGCTGTTACTTTTTGGTCATTTGGGATCTTATCTCCATTCAGTAGAAAATACTTGCCTTCTCTTTGTGATGGAAACACACAGCAGTGTCTTCTTTATACAGCTAAGGGGGTAAAGTAAGGGAGCATCCCATCACTTGCTTAGAATGATGCCTGTCATGGGAGATGTCCTGCAAGCTTACTGAGTCAACTAAAAAGAAAACAAAAATGCGGTGGGTTTAGTTCATGAAAGCCAGGAAGGAAGAACTAAAAAAAAAATAATTTTTTTTTTCAATGAAGTCTTGGAATTTAGAAACCTGTCAAGAGGGAATAAACTAAAGATTGGAATTCTACTATGCACCAAGGAAATACTCAAAAATAATAAAATGAAAATAGCTGTGTTATTATAGGTAAATATATGATAGTCCTCACAATATCAAGAGGCTAGCCTTATTTTAGAGTTGAAAAATCAAAATGCAGAAATTAAGAATTTTCCCAGAATAGTGCAAACCCACCACTGGTCCCAGGGGTTGCACTTAGAGCCTGGCTTGCCCTAGCCCCACATCTGCTCCTGGGAGCATGACAGGATGAGACCTTATGCCAAGAGTCGGTTATTGATACAGGAAAAATAAAAATCTATGATGTTAAACAAACTTGTAGTTTTGTCTGCTACAAACTCAAGTTGGGAATCCAAATTGTCCAATTGATATGGTTAGGAAGGAGCCAGGGCAAACTGTAATGGAAATTGTGTGTTTTTACTGCCCTTTCTAGCCTTTCAGGATTTCTCCTTTGGATCAAGGTTAAGAATGAAAGGACTTCTGTTGATGTAGTTAACATGTATCACATAAATAATATCTGAAAAGTTGAAGTGTTTGCTTTCATTTGGGATGAAAACTGAAGTGGGAACTCCTATATTCATAGAAAAGACCTCTCGTTTCCTCTGAAATGGACTGAGGTACTTTCCTTAGATTGTGTGAAATTGTTTTAAACTTTCCACATTAGCAAAACCAAGAGTGATAATAAGTTAAACAAACTGTGTAGTTTACAAGCAGATATCCTGAACTATTGAGAAATGAAAACCAGTATTAGAAAAATCTCTTCAGTTAATTGGAAACAGACAATAAATCCAAATAATACTTGCAATGTTTAATATTTCATTACAAGTTTTTATCATAAAAGAAAGCATATATTTAAAAATTCAAGTACATGGGGGATGGCTCAGTAGGTAAAGCACATGTCACACAAACATGGAAGCATCAATATAGGTTCCCAGAACCCATATAAAGCTAGACACAGTATTGTGTAAATGTCATTCCGGTACTCCTATAGTGAGATGGGGACGTGGAAACAGGAGAATTCCCTAGAAGCTTGCAGGCCAGTTATCTGGTATATGCAGCAGTGAAAAATAGATGCTATCTCAAACAATGTGGCAAATGATGTCTGACACCTGAAATGTCACACATGATACCTACATGGACCTATATGTATGCCATGGTATACATAGGCCCACACTCACGTGGACACCCATATGCACACAAACACACCCAGACACATCCATCATGTACACAAACACACACATAACTATTTTAAAAACTCCAAGTAACAATGTGTAGATAGCAGGAAGTGAAGGTTGATCTGTATTTATACTGTGTGCAAGTATTTTTGCTTATTTAAATAAGCTTAAGTTGGATTTTTGTTTTAGTCTACATATACACTGATCATCATAATAAACATGACTTCCCCATATTTATTTAAGCTGCTATTGAAGGACATTTAATTTGTTTGATTTTCCCAGCCATTACTGCTGAACATAAATATTGATATGTTCTTCTATGTTTGTTTCAACGAATTTGTAAAAATGGCTGGATTAAGGATGATATATCAAAATGTCACATGATATTTTAAAAAATGTTTTAATAAAGAGTGTAACAATTTATATTCCCATTAAAGATAGGCTTCTGTAATCCGTACTAAAATATTTTTAAGTCAATTAGAAAATTGCAAGTAAAATACGCTGTGCCATTTAAGTATAAACTTATATAACGCCATATTTCCCTTCATTTTCATATTGTTCACTTACTTTCCTTTTGGAAATTGCCTTCTGGTGTTTTCTCCATTTGGCTAAATTCACCCATTTCTTGGTGCTTGTGATTACAGCTGTGTTTCTACACCTTCAGTTCTCACAGGTGACCCTAATCCTACCGGGGCCATTGGTCACAAACTGAAATCCCTGCCTTGGTGGTGAGCGGGTTCTGTCTCTGATGTTTATTCCTGTTGTAAAGTAGTGAATCAAGTGTTGGCAAATTTTAAACAGTTTTTGTAGGCATGCTTTTTAACTATTTTGTTGAGTATTCTTTTTTAAAATTTATTTATTTCTTTATTAATTACAGTTTATTAACTTTGTATCCCAGCTGTAGCTCCCTTTGATCCGCTCGCCCTGAGGAGGGAACTGCCTAACCAGGCCACAGAGGAAGACAATGCAGTCAGTCCTGATGAGACCTGATAGGCTAGGGTCAGAGGGAAGGGGAGGAGGACCTCTTCTATCAGTGAACTTGGGGAGGGGCAGGGAGGAGATGAGGGGGGCCCAATCCCCCCTGATTGGGGGGAGATGAGGGAGGGGGCTACAGCAAATTATCTTTTTTAAAGGCCCATGGAATTAAGTGGTCCAGGCTGATTGGTCTTCCTTGCCACAGCCCTGCCCTACCGATGTTACAGCATGTGTGTCTCAGACATACAGCCTGCATGGTGTGGCTGTGTTGTTGGGAAGTCTCACAGTGGGCACTGGAATTTCCATGTGACACAGAATGAATTCTTAATATGAAGAGCGTCTTTAGACCATCGGCTCCTCATAAACAAGTGATGAACTGGGATCTGTAAGCAGGGCATGTGGTTCGGCAAAGCCTGCTCAGTTGCTTTCTGTGAGAAACCTGAGAAAAAAGCCCTGCCACTAGCATCCTTAGGCCCAGTCACTGAGCTATGGGACCAGGGCTACATTTTCTTGGATCATCTTTTCAACTCTTCACTTATACCAGATTTGTTTTTACTTAAGAAAATTAAGTGGAAATGTGAGATGTGGTGATTTTTATGTATGTCAAAGTTTTTGCAGCTGGAGATAGTGACATGTTCTCTGTACATGTATGTAGGCATTTGAAAATACTGATATTTAAGTCTGTTGGCTTGGGGAAGTTTATTTTGCTTTAGATGGGGTCATCCCTGGCAGGCTTGGAGTGGGTGGGCTGTATAGACCAGGCTGTTTTTGAACTAAAGTGATCCTCTACTTTACCACTGAATGTCTTGAATATAAGCACAAGCCACATGGCTGTCTCTCAGACTGCCTTGAATGGGTTCAGGTTGACTTAGGAGTATGTGGTACCTAGTACCTTAAAGAAATCCAGCCTCTCCTGATGAGACCTAATTGACTAGGATCAGAAGGAAGGAAAAGAAGACCTCCCCTATCTGTGGACTTGGGGAGGGGCATACATGCAGAGGGTGGAAGAAGGGAGGGATTGGGACGGAGGAAGGAGGGAACCACAGGGGGGATCCAAAGTGAATTAAGCGTAATTAATAAAGAATTAAAATAAATAAAAAAGAAATCCAACAATGTGATGTAGGGTTCAATCTAAAATTTCATGCTGTGTATACATAACCATAAAATATTGGTAATTCCAAACACCTTGCAGTTCTTTTATTAAAATGTCTTAATCCTATCAGCATTATTTGCCTGTCTTCTTGTAGAAAAATATCACAGTAAATTAGTACACCCACAAAGGAGGCTTGTTCAGGCTGTCTGTTCCCCCGGCAGTCTCTTCGCATGTACACACTGAATTCATGGGACCTTGACAAAGAGCTCTTATAAACTTCCCATTGCACACTTGGGCAGTTTGAATGGCGGCTGCTGCCCATTATTTATCTCATGTTCAAAATAAATTTTGATGGAGATAGTCAGTTGCTAGATTCCCTTTGCTGCCCACATTCTGATATTCTTACAAACCAAAAAGTATATGTCTAGTTGTAGAATGAAGTACTATGGCAGAAATGACACTAGCTGTTTGTTCTGTACTCTGTCATAGATCTAATATGTTCCCTTTTTTATATTACAGTGTTGGAGATTGAAATTGTGTCCCTTGTATTGCTAGGGAAGAGCTCTCTCTTTGAGCTGTATCCCTAGTCTGCTTATTCACATTTTTGACAGTCTCTACATCCATCTCCAACATCTTGTTCTCACTGTAGCTGTGCAGAGTAGGAGTACAGCCACCTGGGAAGAGATGCCACATTATGAGTTACATACCCTTAGCTTTGTACCAAAATAGATCTCAGTTAGTTGTGCTGGGTTTTCGGAACAGTACTGAGGTTTAACAAAACTTGTCTATAGTATAATCTACCTTTAGCATTTCTTGCAAAATATAGTTGGATACTAGGCTTTATGCCATCTTCTGCTGGAGAATCACCTGTAAGGAGCATTAATAATTGAGACAACTTATTTGAACTTCCACACATTAGATACTTTGCTTATATTAAAGCTATCAAGGAGGACCCCAATTTAGCCTTCTTGCTTATATGCATAAATTGAAGTGTCACACCAAACCCAAGAAATATGCATCAGTTCTGTGTTGTTAACAAATTAAAAGACAATGTCAACTATGAAATATATGAAATCTGACTACATGCCTCATCCCCTTTACCATTACACAGGATCTTATAAACATGATGTTATTTTTTTTCTGAAGAGACCACAGAATATGTAATAAAGCTGTACTGGCCACAAGTCGTAAATAGATTTACTCTTTAATATAGGTGAAGAAGGTTGATCCATTGTAGCTAATACTTTTGAACAAAGAAATTCCAACAAAATGATACAGAATAAATGCAATTTATCTGTATCATACACATGATTACAAACAGATAATAGCAAATGCTTTTCATATTAATAGATGTTTGGCAATTATAGTTACTTTTTTTCTTACTAAGAAGTGTTTTTCTCTCTCAAGTAGGAGGCATTTCCAAAGTTAGTTATTGAAGATAAGTGCCAATAATGGCACTGTACCTGGTAAACTCAGAATTTCAGTGAAACTGCTTCTTTCTAGTGTTAAGGAAGTAGTAATCTTTTAAAATATTAGAATGTTATAATAGTTTACTCTCTTTACATTAATTATTTTATTCATTATGTTTCTTCTCAAAGGAAAGATACATCTTTAAACCTCTACTAACTTAATGAACATTCAGGCCTCATCCAATGTCATTTGATTTGGTTTAAGTCGCTCTGTACATTTGTGTTGTCCTTGTTGTTTTAAATGAGAAGTCAGTAGTTATCATGCTTGATGTATCAGATCAAACATAATTTTTCACTTTTTAAAAAATAATAATTGTGATTGGTTATGTATTATCACAGGACAGTGGGCATTACATTTCATGGTTGTTCGTTTTGTAGAAACTAGTTAAATAATTAATTCTTTGTGGGTTTGCCCGCAGTATAGCAATGCGATGTAGTTGATTTTATTGTATGACTGAAGATTAGAAATTTTTTACCTTATATTTTATTTTATATATGTATATATTCTGGAAAAGTAGATAAAGATTATTTCCCCAGTTTATTGCCTATTTCAAGAGCCATTAACTCAGCTTCTTTTTAGTGAGTGTTAATATTTTTGTGTGGTGATTGCCTTGGAGGAGACTGAAGCACCGTTTGGGTAACGGTTTACATTGGTGTCTCCTCGCTTGGGTCTCCACCTTCCTGCCCTTTCTTCTTGTTTTCTCCAGGTGGTGGCGTAGAGCTTGAGCACCTCAGCATGCTTGTCAGGGAGTTTCTGAAAGACTTGCAAAGGAAAAAATAAATGAATGGATCGAGGCAGGCATTCAAGGACGTCAGCCACAGGGTGCTCTCTTTCACATAGAACAGAGCGTTTTCAGCAGCACAGTCAAAGACGGCCCGGGTCTGGCTCAGGGTGTAGGGAATCCGTGCAAAGTGGAAGGGAACAAAACAAATAAAGAAGACAGCAATGATGATGAAAACTTTGATGTTCACCTTTTTCCTGGGAACTTTGGCTGACCCCCTTGTTCTTACATAGGAGCGATAGAGTTCTTTCGTAATGAGACTATAACAAACAATGACAATTAAAAAATTAATCCAGAAAATGACTTGGCAGATGTAATTGACTATTTCATGCCAGACCAGACCAAACTCTGACTTTAAGAAGGAACATTTCGTTATGTCTTTATCTTTTGGCCTCCTGTTGGTGAGAATCATGTTAGGCAGCGAGAGTAAGAACATGAAGGCCCAGATGACAACAGAAAGAATCTTCGCACCCAAGAGATTGCTGGGATTGGAAGTTTTAAATGGCCTGGTGGTCTTCAGGTAGCGGTCGATGGTTATCAGTCCAAGGAATGATATGCTGATATACATTGTAAAATAAAATGTGACCGAGGTAACTTGGCACACCAGGGTTCTCAGAGGCCCGGCTCCCAGTTTGGCATCACTAAGAATTTTGAATGGAAAAGTTAGAATCATGAGAAGATCAGAAATGACTGTGTTCTTGAGAAAAATAATGAAGTTGGATTTACTGCGGATTTGAAAGAAAATCCTCATTGCCAAGCTGTTCGTGATGAGCCCAGCAAAGAACAGGACGGTGTAGAGCAGTGGGAAGAGGACCTGGGTAATCTTGTAGTCTCTGCTGCAGAGGGTGCTGTTCCCCAGGGAGGAGGAGGAGTTGACCGTGGTGGTGTTGACACCAGGCATCTCCACGGTGCTGGTTCCTAGAGTAGAGACAGTGAGGGTGCTTACACTTAGCCATTGGCTTAGTAGCTATCTCTATACATAATTTTTAGAAGCACAACCTTGCTTAGAACTTGACCTTTCTGATCTTTATTGTGGCAGTTAGTAGGAATTAATAGAACGCCAAATCCCTGAATATTCCGTCTAAACAAATAGTCCATCTCTGGCAACATAAAATGATGTGAAATGCGTTGTGTGTGTTTATGGGAACCTTGAGTTTGTTTCTGTTGAATGTTGTATTTCATAGCCTGTTGTCATGGTGCCAGCCCTCCTGTACTTACTTTGAAAAACCTTATGGAATGTTCTCTAATGATGCTCATCTTTCCCCTCATCTTCTTTCTCTGTAGCCTTTTGTTTCTGATTGCAGCTTTCCTCCCTCTGTGCCCCTGTTCCAGGTTTCACTCTTTAGTATAATTGATGAATTCAGTGGAGAAGTGACTGATTATGAGTTAGAATTGTAAATGAAAAAGCTCAAAGAAATTGGCATAAAGTCACTGTTGGGAAATTTATTCAATAAATTAAGTAGTAAATTATAAAAAATAAAAACCCGAAAAATATTCCTGTGTACTGGGGAAAGATTTCTGCCTATGCTCAGACATGCCATCTACTATTAGCCTCACAGAAACTCATTATGTGGCTTAGAGGATTTTTAGCCCATGCATTTTTCATTTTCAACTTGTATGTATATTTGAAGGTTGTATGTATTTTTTAATATCATTCAGTGTGAATCCTAAAACAACAACAACAGTAATAATAATAATAATGAAGGCAACAGCCTTTGTATGTGTGATCATTACTCGACATTTCTTAAAGCAGCAAGAGCATCATTCTCAGATTTATGGCATATTTAATGTTAGCTAAAATAAAATAGCAGAAATCAGTCCCTGTCTGGCTTCCTAGGTTGTCACACAAGAGACAGCTTAAATAATAGTAGCAGTTGACTTTAATATGTTATAGGTGGCATCTAGCTTGAAATTTAAGATGGAATTTAAAACTTTTCAAAGTTCCATCAAACAAAATGATTTCTCATAAAACGGGATTTCTCATATTCAAGTATACAGTTTAAAAACCCTTCATAACTCCCTTCATAACTCCCACATAAGATTTAACACGATAAATGAAGATAGCAGGTCCTCCCTCCAGATGTCATTGGAGTTCTTTAATTACTGAAAAGAATGCAGTTAAGAATATCTCCCGGAGGTTGACCTTGTTGCTTTGCGCCTTAGCCTCTCATTCAGCACCTCAGACATGAAGGAGAACCACTGAATTCAACCCTCTTTGCAATCGTTAGTTCCTCTTAATTCATTCCTATCTGTTCTGATAACTCTAACTTAGGAATGCTCATTGTGTATAGTAGGTAAATCATTGAACAACTGTCTTGACATTGGAAATTTCCATTCCTTTTATCTGTATTTAATTCTCATTTTAGAGTCAAAGCGTCAACATTTTTCCATGCTTGGCATATTTTTATTGAAGAACTTAATCTCCCATACCACTAAGACTAGTACCTTAGTTTTATTAATTCAAACACATGCTATTATTCCAAACACATGCTTCTGACTTTATTAATTGCTATATAAGGTTTTCAATTTCAAGAACAAACTTGGAAAATATACATATATTTCATAGTATATGTAGATTTCTGTCAAATGCAATATAACATTACCTGGTTATTCTGTTGGATCTGAAGCGTTTGAGTGTCTCCGGTAATACCAGCCAGTTAGTAAAACTTGCAGAGTGGCATGTGGTGTTTTCCTCTCGGTGACTTAGTTCAGTTGCCAAACCCCTCTGTGGTAGAGAATCTGCCGAGTTTCAGCAGTGCAGTCTTGCGTGTTCTAGACAGGAATAAAGGGATAGGGAAGAAAGACCATCTCAGTAAGGCACTACCTTCCATGCATATTCAGAGCTGTGCAGACTCAGAGTCTGTCTGTTTTTAGGACTTCTGTTTTTATTTCGTGGAAGATAATAGGCTGAAGGTGGCTGAGAAAAAATCATCTGTTAAAAGGCAATTTAAGATGCTGTGGTTTTCTTTTTTTTTTCTAAAACCTGTAACAGAATCATTATAGTGGAGGGTTTTGCTTATTAGTTTGCTTTTTGGCTATTTTCCATGAAAATAAATGATAAATCCTAGTTGGGATGAAGTCTTCTAAAGCTGTTCACAGAGAAGGTTGCAGGTTTGCCCTTGCAGATGTCTGTTCATCTGAAAGCATACTGTGCTCGCAGTGGACAATGTGTCACTGTCTGACAGGTAATTCTATTATCTCAAAATGTGCGCTCCCTTGGGGAGAGTGGGCCTGCTGCTTAGCGTTTTATCCCAGTTCATAATGTCATTATTTACAGTCTGTGTTTGATTATCGTCTTTGTGGGTAGAACAGCACCATCCCATTATAGACTATTAGACTCCCAAATCACATTAGGAAAGAAAGCAGTTGTGTCCCCTGCCAGGCTGGTTGCATGAAACAGCCTTCATGGTATTGGTGACTAGAACGCAATACTAAAGAAACGTTGTCCATTATTTAAGTTTATGCGTAATGATGATATTGAATTAAACCATCTTTGTAACACTGCTATATGCAATTCTTTAAATTTTAAGCTAAAAAGGCAAAAATAAACACTTGGAGTGAAATTGTAAGATAAATTTGTGACTGCTTTATGTTTATGTAAATATTTCTGGCTCCCATATTTAGAGAGAAAGCACGAGCCGTGTGCAGCATCTCCAACTGAAATGGCTATTTGCAATAAAACCACTTGAGTAGGTGCCTCTACTAGGAGCGTATATTTTATTTATTTGGAAGTTTGAGTGTGTGTACACTTGTTAAATCGATTTGATGGTGCGCCATGGCATCATGGCAGCTCAGCATGACGAACATTTGTTTAAAATGTGTATTTAGGGGTATGTAGTCTCTAGGAATCAGAAACCCCCATTTGTATTTAAACTTCCTTCTGTGATGCGTAGGCACACTGAAGAGTGGCACCCACTGGGTTATATTAACACAGAACTTTTATTGTCATTAAAATGTGAAATCAAGCTATTAATCTCATTCACTTTAGTAACATTCAATTGCATACTAACTGCAATGTTTCCAACACACAGAAAGAAGTATTGGTTTAATCTTCAACTTTCTGAAATGTCTATGAGGTTGTTTTTACCTTTGTATATAAACAAAGCCAGTTTAACTTATCTTATATGTTGGTTTGGATATCTGAAATACTTTATAAAAGGAACTTTATGCTTTAAAATATTAATTGCCAACATTTAATTTCTTATACTACCATGAATTAACCCACTTTTATTATATTAGTCAATACTCATTTTATCATTTTCTGAATGAAGGAAACTGAGTAAAACATTTAGATTAATTGGAGACCACATTCAGAGCCACCCCTGTCTCTGAGGCTGTCTCCATGACATCTATGTAGTCTCTTTCCTCTTCAGAGCCCAGGAGTGAGAACTGAATGATGTGTGGAATGGCTGGACTCCCCTTTGATCAAATAAGCAATATGCTTGCCTTTATACCAAATTCTAAACTCTGGGATTTTTATAGTGTTTCTGAGGTCTCTGTTAAATCTTCTGAAGGAGAATTATAGATTACCTTTACCTTAAAAGAAAATTAATTCAAAATTCCTAAGTCTTTCTTACTGAAAAAAATTTTTTTCAAATCCCTAAAACATTCTTAGTAGAGATTTGAAGAATAAAAATAACTGACCTTAGCCTACTTCAGCTTTCCTCTGAGGTAACAACTAAAAACACCTCTCTCTGAACCTTCTCATATTTTCTTATTGGGGACAATTGCCAATTTCCCCTTTGATCACCTGACCATGAAAGTGACTAAAATATTTAGTCAGAAAGTGTCTTATCCTAGAACTCTGTATTATAGTATAATTTGTTGGGCACATCATCCTCTCCCTATCAATAAATAAAATCATCACATACTGTTTATAATTGTATTATTGGGAAATGAAATTTAATTTGTTTATTTTCTAACAGATAATTTGGAAAATTGAACAGAATTTTTATTTTAAATGGTTAATTATTTTGCCAAATCTGTTGGGGATAATTCTTTCTGCTCATCTGAAATTTATTTAATTCAAATAGTATGACTGTGATGCCAGGAGGCCATTCCTTGAAGTGCACGTGGTCCTTGTGCATCTAGGTTTGGGCAGGAGGATGAAGATATAATTAGACATTTGATTATCAGTTGGGATCTTTCAACTGTCATGACTTTTATCATTTTGGTAAATTTTTGATTGAAGACATACATTATATTGATGCATGATTCTGTTAGTTTGCTTAGTTTTATTGGTCATAGTAAGTTAGGTAATGTAAACATTAGCTTTCAAAAATAAACAATCCTGGGCATTGGGAATATTTAGCAAGAAGTCTGTGTCTTATATTTCAAGTACCCACCAACCTTATCCTTGCTTGAAAGAAGAGAAATGGCGTTTCGTGGACTCTGCACAAGTATTCCCTTCAAAAATAAGTTATCTGTTTTCTTGATTTGTAAAAAAGGGTGCTGTCATTTAGGAACAGTTACCAATGAAAAGAAGTGGCCAACTATTCGGTCCTGGAGCTTTACGTTTCTCACTTCTCTATCTCCGTACTTCTGTTTTCCTGAATTTTAGTTCCTGTGCTTGGGTAAAGCACTGTTTTTGTCTTTCCTGTTAATCTAGACTTCTCCCACCTCTCACCAGTAATCTGCTCTGAAAACAATATCCTTTATGATGGCTTCTTTATAGGTGTCATAACTCTGAAACGAGAGTTAGCTGTTTATTACCCAAAACAAGTTTTCTCTTAAACTTGTTCTTCATGCCCAGCTTCTTGTAAACTTGAGTCTCTTTTCTGCCACCCCTCCCCCTCACTTCTTTCATAGCAACACTTCAGTGCCTTGCTTCCTGCTGTGCTACCTTCACTACTATGGAGAAACTTCTCTTTTGTAGTATTCATGTGTTTTTGGTTAAAAAAAAAAAAATCAAAGATATCACATCTAGCTTGACTCTTTACCTTCATTTAGTCCCTATTGGACTATTGGTTGATGGTTGTTATTATTGTGTCTCCTGGCCTGATTTCTAGACCATGCATGGTTAGATCATTTTAGTAAGTGAAGAAGCACATGTAAGCATCATTTAATGGCTTGATGGTATTCTCGAATACCCCATCTACCTACTTTTCTTACCTATGTAGAATTGTGGAGGTTTTGCACCTCTCTCAGGACTTACTGCTCCCATTACTGCCTCACCTGTGACCTGCATTAGTGCTGCATCAAACCAGATACACATCAACCGTACATTTTCATACATATTTTTTTTCTTCAACAACCTTTTCAGATGGATTCAGTGAAATCCAGAGAAATACATACTCACCCACTAGACCTTGATGTCTGACCCTTTTCTCCTCAGGTGCCTCTAAGATGTCTACTTTTTGTTTCTCATCCCCACAGCTAATACCTAGTCTACCACACAAACATTAACTTTCTGTTGGTCTCTCACATCATCAACATTTTTAGCATTTTAACAGCCAACTTGTTTCCTACAAAACAATGATATTGTCTTCTTTCCTTCCCATATGTCTTTTTTAATTTTTATGTTTCTTCCTTAGTCTACTGACTTCCTTTGTGCTTGTTACACTCACCAAGCATTAAGAGCCAATTTGGTGCTTACAAAAGAGAATAATAGTGAACTCAGGAAGACAGTGGTTAATGCCACACAAACAAAAAAAAGCAATAATCTAGAAAATAAGTGAATTATGTGTGATGAGCACTTTTGGGGCATTGCATGTGCATTATGTCTTGTTTATTCTCACAAATCCCTAAATGGAAGATGGCATGACACTGTCTTCAGGAGAGGAGTCTGAGACTAGGAATTAGGTTGCTTACCCAGGATTATGGTTGACTTAGAGCATCATGACTACAATACATTCTAAGCTCTCTCAGCCCTCAGGGTGGTACACCATGTTTCTGTGGCTGTCCTGAGTTCTCGTCAGTGTGTGGATCCTTTTATCTCTTAGCAACCCTGCTTGGACCTCTCTAGATCTTTTTGGGCACCTGGAACATGAAGAATTAGCAGAGAGGCACAGAAAGAGAAGTCAACAGGATATGCAAATGTGTATTATTTCGAGCACTTTATGAAAAAAGTGAAACCAGGGTAACTGAGTTGTGGCCTGAAGGCGAGTGTGTGCTTGAGGGGAAAAATTTGCCAGAGTTGGAGAGTGAGCATAGTACTTATTCACCGGCTGTAGACGCATGGCGTTTGCTCATGTATGCAGAGAACACACAGTTCTTTGTGTGACATTGACATTCCCCACCTCTGAAGGGGTTTTTGGAGCCATTAGTCATGATGAACAAATGTGGTTTATTTCTCTGGGAGGACCTCTCTAGGATCAGAGGCAATGCCCTTTGCAGTGGGATGCCTTAGCATGAACACTGTTGCATAAAGAGGGAGATGTGTGGAAAGGTCCAACTGAAAAATAAATAAATAAAAGGAAAACAAAACATGCCAGGGTGAAATTAAAATTTAAAGTAGTCATGAGAGTGAGGATACAACTTAGATGCTCACATTTGGGTAAGGGTAATTTGAACCTGTGCTGGATGCCTGTTCATTACTCAACACCTCAGAAATGTATTTTCTCACAAGGAAAAAAAAGTAGTGCTTGATTTACCATTCTCATATGGGGAGCTAGGGCCTAAAATGAAGAGTGGTCTTCTCAGATGATGTATTTCTAGCTTCTTGGTTCACACCTGGTGATCCTCCTTAAAATTTCCTGTTTTGTCATCTAGAAATAAATACTAATACATCTTATCCAGTCATGTTGTAGTAAGTGTCGTATTTTTTTCTGAAG